CTGAGCAGGGAGCCCAATGTGGGACTCGATCCCAGGATTCTGGGATCACGACCTGAGCTGAAGGCAGCCGCTTAACCAACTGAACCACCCAGGTGCCCCAAATGTCCTCCTTCTGAAGTGTGAAGTGTCTTGGGAGTGTTACTGCTTTGAAAACTGGCAGATTCCCAAAAAGTAAAGATTACTTATTCCACAGTAAATAATTTTCTTTGCAAGTTAAGATTTATAACGAATTTACTGCAACTTCTCTTTCCTGTATACTTCTTAAATTCCTGATGGAATCTTTGGCATGTACTGAAGCAACCAGTAAATTTTTAAGAAAGTAATCAATATTCCAAGATGTCTCATCACAAAATTAGGAATTATGTAAAGATAATTGAGGTAAAAGACAAAGAACACATTGTTCTCCTGACTCATTTCAGTTCCTCCCTGATAATGAATTTTCATGAGCTGCTTGGACTATTGAGGTGAATTGATATTTTAAAGTCTGATTATTTGTGACAGGAGTACAATGCTTGTAGGCTTTTGTTTGTATATTTATATTTATACTGAATATCTATGACCAATTGTGAGTAAAATACCTTCTGTTCTTAAATTGCTCATTTAGTGTAGTACTTGCCAAACATCACTTGAATAAATACTATATGTGAAACACAAGTGCTTTATGACTAGCCTTTAAAATATTTAATTAAGAAATGGAAGATCACAATATAAATAGTTTCTATGACTTTGTGGGGAAGGATCTATTAGAGTAATTTTTCTCAACACCTTCAAGAGCTGCCTTTTTTCTTTTAACCGAGTGAATGATATTTTCAAAATATATTGCTTGATTTCCTGCCATCTTAAGCAGAACAAATAGAATATAATCTACACCTTCTACAGGTGATAATTATGCATGTCACTTCACCAAGGGGTGTTGCCCTTGAGGTTTATTAAAGGGCATAGACCAAAGGAGGAGATCAGAAAATGAAGCAGCACAGCAGTTGGGGGCCATATAGTAAATGATGGGGCCATCTATTAAATGCTTCCTCTCTCCTCCCATTCCCCTCTCTCATACCCATTGACTTCTAATCTATTCATTTAAACTTAGGAAGATTGAGGGTGGAGACAAGGAGCCAGATAACCTTGGTTATTCCCTCACTAACTTTATTTTATATTCTTTCACATTGTTGTTTTGGAGGGGGGCGAGGGTGACTCTAAATGTTGTCCTGCATGTATCAAGGGCGTATATTTATAGGCCTTTTTCTCTCATTCCCAGGACAGAGAGAGAGAGAGAGAGACAGGGAGAGCAGGAACACAAGCAGGGGGAGTGGGAGAGGGAGAAGCAGACTCCCCACTGAGCAGGGAGCCTGATGCGGGACTTGATCCCAGGACCCTGGGATCATGACCTGAGCCAAAGGCAGACACTTAACGACTGAGCCACCCAGGCACCCAATATATACAATTCTTACTTGTCAATTATATCTCAATAAAGCTGTTGGGGGGGAAGTCCTGTGTACTAAAGTGTAAGAAAAGCATGGATGCCTCTCTTAAGACATGGCTCTTTAAAGTTTTTTTCTGTTTGTGTCTTTTCCTAGAAGCAGGTCCTGGGACAAAGATTCAAATAAGCAGGCGAAGGATACATGGGTAGTGAACGCAGTGCAGAGTGTGTATGATGCAGCCAGCCACCCTTGTGACCAGCTGGGGAGGGTGGGCGGGCTGGGCCCTGGGCAGACAGTAGAGCGCACGCGCAGTCACCACGACCACCTTCGTGGTCCACGCGCAGTGCTCGGATTTCCGCCCCCTGCACTTGCCTGCCTGGTGCGTGTCGGGGGCATAGGCGGCCACAGAGAGCCCGCAGGTGAAGGGATGCAGTTCCAGGTGAGGTAGAAGTAAGGCACGGTAAAAGACAAACTGCCACATAGTAGACAATTTAAGAGTTCATCTGAGCAGAAATCAACAGGAATCCGGCAGTGCCGATTGAAAAGTAGTTAGGAGCACTTAGCCACAGACAGGAGCTGGGGAGAGACTTTTACAGAGAAAAGGCGGAAGCAAGGTAAGGAAATGATTGATTGGCTCTAGCTTAAAGCCTAGATGGCTGTTTGTGATTGGTTGAACTTAGGTTTCAATTTTGTAACCTTCAGGCATTTACAAACTTAGATTTTGGTTTGCTTAGGAAGTTGGCCACAGCGTTGAAGCTGCCTATCACGTGGCCTCGTTTAATTAATTTAACAGGTTTCTTGCCCTGAAGTGGCCATGGGGAGGCGGTAAAGGTGCGTCACCCTCAATAGCCACTGTAGATGGAGACCTTGACATGAGAGTGGCCCCTGTGATTTGTAGACTTGCATTTTGAGAACAAATTGGCAACCTAAAGAAAGAGGTAAGCTGAGGGAAGCTCAAATTACCTGAAATTGAGTTTATTCTGGAACAGTAGAGGAATTGCAATTTGGGAAGCACGAATTGTAGCAAGCTATAGGTGAATCCATTGGGGGTTTGCAGGGGTTTGTATTTATGGGCAAGGAGTGCAAAGAAGGGGGAGTCCAGCCAATAAGCTCATTGGCTTGAAGATAAGGGAGAGATTCTCTCTCTCTTTTTTAAGATTTTATTTTAAAATCTGCCAGAGAGAGTGAGAGAGCACAAGCAGGGGGAGGGACAGACAGAGGGAGAGGGAGAAGCAGGCTCTCTGCTGAGCACAGAGCCCAATGCGGGGCTGCATCCCAGGACCCTGGGATCATGACCTGAGCCAAAGGCAGACGCTTAACCACTTAACTGACTGAGCCACCCAGGCGCTCCCCAATAGGGAGAGATTCTTGATGGATGTTCAGTGAGATCCATGGATCTCATTGGAGATATATTTGAGTCTTTTGTAAATCAGGCGTTTATGGGAAATCAGTCTCTCGGTTCTTCAAATTTTGTTTTCAATGGCACATGCATGAGACTCTCCATTTCATAAACTCTGGTTCCATCTTAGATTGAAATCCTTTCACAAAATCAAGAGATGGTTGTGAGTTTCCTTTAGCTATATACTAGTATCTAGAAACATTGGTCTGTAATGTTTCTGGAGGAAAAACTCAATTCCTATTAAGTAGATCCACATTGCCTATCTTTTCTGGTTGACTTCCCGAATAAGTTATCCAGCAAATTGTCTAACTCAGCCCTCTACTTTTATAATTATTTAACTACTGCCAATTTGAATGTATTCTGTCTTGAATAGTCAGCTGTGGTGAGATAAGTGAGGGGTGATTGATTTTCAAGTGTCGGTTTACTCCACTCCCTCAAATCAGATAGTTTTTAAAATTATAGAGTAATGATTCTGAAAAATATTATGTCAAGCACTGCTTATTTATGAAAACTTTATACTGTCTATGGGAGCAGTGAGTACAAATAAACAGGGATTCTGTATGTTGTAGCAGAGAGCTCTTTTTATTGGCTAGCATCTTTTTTGTGTGTGGATCCATTTCTTCCCAAATCCATTTGACCCTCGAGGTATTTCTCAGTGGGGTCTCACATATCCACATACCCTTACAGGGTTGGCATATATATTAGTTTTTTGTGTCAACTTCACTGAGCCAAGGGGTGCCCAGATTAAGCATTACTTCTAATTGTGTCTGTGAGGGTGTTTCTGGGTGAGATTAGCATTTGAAGCCATACATCCAAGTGAAGTAGACTGCCCTCCCCAACATGGGTGGGCCTCATCCAATCCATTGAGGGCCTGAATGGAACAAAAATCAGAGGAAAGGAGGATTCTTGCATGAGCCAGGACATCGGTCTTCTGCCCCTGGACTGGGATTTACACCATCAACTCCTGTGGTTTTTAGGTCTGTGAGGTTGGACTGGAACAACACCCCTGGCTCTCCTGGGTCTCCAGCTTGCAGACAGCAGATTGTGGGACTTCTCAGCCTCAATAGTCATATGAGCTAATTCGTCATCATGAATCTCCACATATATATTATATAACATACATAATATCCTAGTGGTTCTATTTCTCTGGAGAACCCTGACTAAGGCAACATGTGACCGGGGTGGGCCAATCTTAATACACTATTTGGTTGAGCACACAGAAGTGGAAACGTGACCCAGTCATGGCCAACCTGTGTGTGTGTGTGTGTGTGTGTGTGTGTGAGAGAGAGAAAGAGAAAGAGAGAGGTGGGGGGAGAGGAAGTGGGAGAGAGAGGGATGGAAGGAAGGAGAGAGAATGATTATGGATGCTGGGAGAATGAAATTCTCTTTCTGCTTCACTTGCTAATTTGATAATAAAAGACTAGGCATGACTGTGGTCACTCTCTTGACTCCCTTAGGTGGAGAGAGATTCTATGCAGAATGCAACCAAGTAGAGACAAGTAGTGGAGACAAAAAGTCCTGGAGACTTCAGTCCCTAGATCTGGCTGTGCTTGAGCTCAACATCAGGGCCTGTTTTTCTGTGAGCTAATTCCTCTTCCTCTTCTTTCTCTTCCTCTTCAGTTTAGTTTAACTTAGATTTCTAGCACTGGCAGTAGAAAGAGTTCCGACTAAAACACCTACTCAGAACTGGCAAGAAACTGAATATGAAAATGAGAAAATGTATCAGGAAAAATTTTTGAGAAATTAGCTTGATTAAAAATCTCCTTAAATACAATAAAAACTGATTTAATATCAATCAGCAAGATGTTTTTTGAAACCAGAATAGGTGTGAAATTATGACGAGTTTTCAATGGCTCTTGCATTACAACACCCCTGAGAAAAAAAGATAGCTAATATTTATGTTTACTTACAGGAAGTTACTCCTAAATATTTTCGTCTCCTGGCATCCAGTTCCAATGAGTTTGTGAAAGCTGGTGAGTAAATATATATACTCTTTTGTAATTTTAGTTCCTATGTGCAACTTTATTTCCAGGGTTAGGGGATTAGGGTGTGAAGTGACTCCCAAACACGAAAAGCATTTCTTGATGTGCAATATTTACGCTGTCCAGTAAATCAAATAGTACTTGTAATTCCTTTGAGAATTTGTCAGAAAGCCTTGAGATTCAGTTGATGTCTGGCCTTGGAAACCTCAAAGGTTCATTATAGGATGGTCAATCTTGTGGCAAATCCCTGTTCTCTCCTAATCACCAAGACCTCTCACTGCCACCAAGCAATGATCTCAGCTATAGTTGCCTTACCTTAAAAGTGATCCACAGTTGTACAGCAAAAATGAATAATCTGTACAGGGGCAGTGGGCTGGAACCTCTTAGTGCAGAAGTTCAGAGTTGTATGAGTTCTGCCATTAACATATCCATGGAAACACCTAGGTTGCAAAAAGCAAGGAGGGTCACACAATGATTGAGACAAATCATCTGTTCTCAAACTTTGTTTTCAGGACCCCTTAAACTCTTAAAAATTATGGAAAAATTCAAAGAGCTTTTGTTTATGTGGGTTACATCCACTTATGTTTACAGTATTAGAAGTTAGATCAGGAAGATCTAAGTATTGGGAAGCTTACAAGCACATGGTATAGGATGTGAGTTTCCAATATCCTAATTTATATTGAAAGATTAGAGCTTGTAATTGGCAGCGGTTACTGTGCTCTTCTCCTTAAAGTAACTAGAATGTGAAGTGAAAATGTCCACCAAGACAAATCCAAATAACCATACTTTGCCACTGTTTTTTCTTTCTTTTTTTTTTTTTTAAAGATTTTATTTATTTATTTGACACAGAGAGAGTGAGAGACAGAGAGAGCATAAGCAGGGGGAGTGGCAGGCAGGCAGAG